ATAGAATAATGGAACTATATAATTAATATATTTTGGGGCATTTAGTTTCAAATTTGTATTACAACATGATTTTAAATTAGTTATAATACTATAAAGATAATATTGTCATTAAAATTCAAATTTCTTATTTTAATTTAGCACTTTAATCATTATTATTATGAATAATTTTAAATACGTTTTTGTATATACTTAATTCTTTAACTTTAAATAAATAAATAAATATCTGTAACATACGCTCGTCTCTTTGAATCTGATAATATTAAAATGCATTTAAGCGCATATTATATTACGATATATTATTGTTTATGTTAAAACAACAACTTCAACGATCGTTTAAGACATTTCAACTCGCGACGATAAAAGTTTCAATTCCAATAATAACTGAATGTAGACGGCACGGTGTCACAGTCGTGTTGTTAGCGTGTAGACTGTCAATTATACGTTGATACCATTTATTGTTACCATCGCCGATAATGAAAAATGGCGTCACGCTGATGTAACTGTGTAAGCTGTTTGTTTCTGTACGTAAAGATAGTTAATGTGGAAAATAAATTGTGACGAATAAAATGACGACGATCTATTCTATCTGCAGTGATTGTCATATAAATCAGACGCGTACGATCATACATGGTGCAAAGATTTAGTTCTACAAAATAAAATTATCCAGAAATAAATCTATCGTATCCGTAAAAATTGTGACCATAATCAAGGGTTATAATACTATGTTGTATTATATGAGCTATAAATTCACACTCAAAGAAAAATTAATATAAACAAAATTACAATTACAGTATTTAATATTATTCTTCTACTCGTATCAATAATATTATGATATTGAATTTTCATAAACACGTACAGATGTGGATATTAGGAGATAAGGGGTAATTGGTAAATTTAGGTTAACACAAAAAAAAGGTAGAACATTTTACATTACAAACACAATGATTGTATTATAGTATTAAATAATTAATTTAATAACATATTATCATTAATTTATTGATTATAAAGTGTCTTTTATGTAACGTAGTTCATGTTTTTCAACTATAGTGAAACCTCTAAATACCGGACACTCTTGGTTGCCGTAATTTTGTCCGTTATTTATAGGTGTGCGCTATTCAAGGGGGAGGGGTAAATTCTTGAAAATAACTCAAAGAAATTAATAATTACACATGACAATATCTATTATTCATATATATATATACCTACATACAATATTTAAAATAATGATATTTGAATACATTATACATTTGTATTATTTTAATGCAAATATGAATTGTAGATACATATTATTTTTTTAAATTATGATATGTAAATATATTATATTTTGTAAATGAAAAAATAAATAAAAATTAACATTCATTGAAAAAACCAGTTACTTTACCTTGATGTATAGTAATCCAACCTAACACGTTCGAATACGATGAAATCACAAACACAACTAAATACGAGTAGGATAACTTAACAGAACATAATCTAGAAAAATGATTTCATCGACGTAATAATGGATGGATAAGATAAACTATAATTGTATAATAATTTATAATACATAGTAGTAAGATTATATTAAATTGGCATTTCACGATTATTCTATATTAACGATAAAAATTATTAAAATCAAAATTAAATTGCCATAAAAATGACTGTTATTTGGTGGTAAAATTTATAATTTTTTTTTTTTTAATAAATTACTGGATACATTTAACTTTTCTAAATTTAAAATGTGAAAAGTCTTGTTTTACGGTTTTAATTCAAACAAGTGGTCGCTATGGAACGGCGACTACCTTACTAGCATCCCCTTTTTTGTCTTAATACGTTTATAAACTCGAAATACGCTCACGTACAGGGGTTTAGACATGTTGTAAATATTGGCATTAAGTATAAATAATTATAGTTACTGTGTAATATTATAATCGTAAATGTACCCTTGTGTTATTTAGTTTTACTTATTTTTTTTTTAACAAAATGTATAACACGGCGTGTTGAATAGGCAATTAGGTAACAACTGCGTGTTGATGGACGGTTTAAAAAATATTTAATCGATCTATTTACGTGGAAATTTCTAATCTTATTGCTGATTATAGTTGTCATATAATTTGATACTCAGCGTATTGTATATTTTTTTAAATATAACCATATCGCTAGTCTTTTGTCTAATTATGTGACGTTAAATTTAGCGATTTCCGTGTAAATTGAATAATTTTATTCTTATGGCGTAATGTTTAGAAATATAGATCTATTTTCTGCCCAAATATGGGCTACAGCTATAGGATACGACTGATCTTTAAAAGTTTCTAAGCAGTTTCATAATTATACGTCAAAAATGCCTTAATTATTTATAGTAAGTTTTCTAAGAGTGATTCTAATTCGAAGTATGATGATAAAATGAATGTGTTTTGGCTAATCCTATTACATTTAGAATAATTTCTTACTGATAACGGATGTTTTAGTTTTCATGATTAACATTAGTAATAATCCGACTTTTTGTTTCAAAATCATGATAAGTATAGGTCACCAAAAATAAATATATAAACAGACCGTTCAATAAATAACAAGAAAAGATAACTTGATGTAAAATTGATTTTCTATCAGGCACAATAATAATAACACAAACATTATAATTATTTTTTTTTTTATGAGATAAATAAAACGTTATTGTTATTTTTACATATTTTTAGACAAATTTAAGAGTGGTGAATCAAAACCATAAATGATTCACATTATAAAATAATGAAATTATGTACGTATTAATTTTCCCTATAATGATTTATGATTATATTTCTGCTAAGTAATGGTAAATTCGTACAGTTTCAATGTTTAAGTATAACTAGCAGCGTACTATCTATAGAATTATAGGGTAAATAAACAATATCTACTGATATACAAACATCAAGTACATGAAATATTTTTTTTCAGTACACTAAGTTGTTTAATATTGTATTGAAATGAAAAAAAAAAGTATGCTGAGATTAAATCATAATTACTCATGTATAAAGTATTAAGTTAAATTAAATATAACTTATCGATTCATCCGTTTAACTATAATAATAAAACTATTTTCTGTTGGAGTCTAAAAAAACGTCTACCTAAACTAGAGAATACTGCGTAAAATCAAAAAGGTTAATTTGGTATATTAGACTTATTAGGTTAGTTTCGTTTACAAATTGATTAGGTACGTATGTTTTCTGTCCATCGATTAGTCACATGTTAATGTATTTATGTAACGATATGTATTTATAATATTTTTGTAATAGCAGACGAATAATATTCGTGCAAAGCGGTTCAGGTAAATCGTAATATTGCTGTTTGATAGTTAATACTATTACACATTTACACGGCAATAATTATATATTATATTGATTAAATTTCTAGTGGTCAAACTGCTGTTTAGTCGCTGTACGATCGTGTTACACACCGTACACCACAAAATAGTTAATTATTACCGACCGCAACACAATATATTATTATAAATAATACTATTTCCGAACAGAACGGAGATAAATTACAATCGCGAAAATAACACGGCTGGCACAATATCTATATAATGCATATTATCGCATACACACATAATGTACCTTAAACTTGTGTAATATTATGTGCGTGCGGTAGACTTTGTTGTGAGATTTTTTTTTTCACCCCGCGCGGAACCGGAAGTTGGATACACGGTGGGTGTATGGCGGTCAGTGCATAAAAAATAACAATCCCGAACCGTTTTCAACTATTTACGAGCGTGTGGGCAAAATTTTGTTTTTCGCGTGAATAAACTGTACAAACATAGTTTTCAACTAGTTCATCGTTTGCACGCGTCATTCTATTTTTTTTTTTTTTAGACGAAAAAACCATAGTCAATATATTATTGTTATTATTTTCATAGACTTCATACGGGTGCATATTTAATTAATAGGTATTTATATTATTTGACTAATTACATTGCCATATGTATACGTGAACAACGTAATAAAATTCAACGAGACGCTGAACAAAGTGAATCCGCAACAAAATTGAAACACAACTATCTCATCTTTTCATTCCTCACGGTGTACAGGTGAAATTAACAGCCATCAATTAAATTTTCGCTAGACGCTAGACTCGTCTTTAGAGTATTCTTTGACGATAATTAGTATTAATTTATAAAAGACGAAATGGTAACGTGTAACTGACTGACTACAGACACGAATAATAAACAAATAACAGTTTATAAACACATTTAGTATACTCAGAAATAAGCGGAAATATTATTCATAATATTATTGTAAATTGTTATTACCCCGTGTGTGTATTTACAGTAAAACAAAAACACAGTTTTTGTAGCACAATCCAATAATAAATTAGTATAATACCTAAACTTTAATAATAAACGTCTATATTAAATATAAATATATCGAAAATTGTCTAATCATCCAATTAAAAGGAAAGTAAGTGATCGTGTAAATGCGCGTCTTAATTGTTTTTATTTACTATAACTTTAACTGTGTATTTTAATATACGTTATTAATACAATAAACTATTGCTTAAAATTATACAATGTACGTCAATTGTGTTTAACAGAATATTAAATTATTTTAATATGGATTTAGTTCAAATATTATGTAACAAATAATTTTGTTACCTATTATTACAACGCTGTAATTATGTAACTTTTCTGGTTAATAATTAACCATAAATTTTTAAATTGTTACCTAGATAGATATACAAGATAATATTATACTTTTAAAAATACTTTAGCACCGATTGAATAATTATATACAATATATTCTATATTAAGGATATTTACTAACCTAATCAAAGATAATAACATACCTATAAATACATAAATTAAAATATATTTTATTATATTGATTATATATATATTAGTGTTGTGTAAATATGAGAAAAAACAATAGGTTGTAATACTGATTATGATGATATGTAAAAATATTAACTTAATAAGAAATAAGAACCTAACAAAAATTATTATTGAATTCAACTCTTTAAAATATGTTTATTTTAATTTAATTTTACAGTGTTGTCTACGGTCAGTTGGGAAGATTGGTGGACATACGATGGTATATCAGGTAAAACATTTATTCATATTTAAGACAAGTAATTTTTAAATTCTAATATAATAATATAGAATGTGTAAATTACATAATATGAAGGACCATGTATTACAATTTACAGTATTATATTAATTACATTCATATCAGTACAAGTTTTATAGTTATTTTACAATTTTAGACTTATAATATGAAGCTTACTAAAAACTTATAACACAGATATAATAGTTAACAAAGGAGACTTATAATAGAATAGTAAAATACACAATAAAATTAAAAAATAAAAATAAATATACGCAAAAAACTAGATTAAAGGTATAACATATTTAAAGTTTTACGATTTGTTTATTCAAGTAGCCAACTAGTTATTTATTTATTTATTTATTTTTTTTTTTTGAGGTTTGATGATAGTTTTTTTATACATTTTTGGTCTTATATATAAGTAAGTGGATTAAGTTAATTTTCTATGCAATAAAAATACAGTAATATTTGCTAATTGTCTTTTGTTATAAATTATAGGAAAGATATAACCATATTAAATACTAAGCATTAAGTTGTTTTTAATTATATAAATTAGTGATATTTTATAGAACAAATTTTTGTTGGTAGAATATTTAATTTTTTATATAGATATTTTATGTAATATAAATATTTCATTTATTATATATAGACATAAATTATTTTTCTTAGTTTTTTGTTGCTTTAGTTATGTAGACATATCATTTAAAAAGTTATAATATATTTCATTACCTAAATATTTAAAATATTTTACTATTTTTAATGATGTTTGACATTAACGTGATATTGGATTTATGCATTTTTTTTCATCAATACATAAACTAAATCTAACTGGATTGTTTAAGTTAGTCGAAACCACTAAAATAAGAAGTAATATTTAAGTTTTATCTAAATTAAGAAATAGGCTATTTTGACATAACCAATTATTGATTTTTCTCAGTTCACATACATTTTAGCAATTTGTATTTATATTTCAATATTTATAATTTGTAAAAATAATTCAAGTATAATAACTAATACTATTATATATATTATTAAATTTATTGTATATTATTATAAACACATTTTTAAAGAATATTATGTTGAATATTAATATTGTAATAACTAAATAACTACTCATTTGATTTACCTTTTGAAATATTAACATTTTTAAAAATATTATTAATTAAATAATGTATGGTAATAACGGAAGTAATTATTTGAAAAACTAATATTTATATCTTCACTAGACACTCCTTAATAAGTACAAGTAATCTCAAGAATTCATATGCATTGTCTTCAAATGTATTTGAAAATACCTAGAATCAAAATTTGAATAAAGTCATTGTTAAATAAAAAAATGATATGAACGGATATATTTTGTCTGTTTATTATATAATAGTCTGTACGAAGAAACCCAACAATGTACATAATATTTGTTTTTTACAATCAGTATAACGTGTATTCCGTGCGTTTCAAATATTCGCATATTATACTCTGTCGTAATAAAATTTGTCTAATTTTATTTTTTCTGATGTGAACCGCCGAAAAAAGATTACTGGTCAACACGACGGGCCACGCGCGTGTCTTGCACTGTCTCCGGCTGCATAAAAGTCAACAGACTAGTAGACAACAAGAAGATACTAAGACGGAAAACTCTAAAAACAAACGTCACGTTTATGAAATAATAATAGGAAAACATTACGACATTAATCCGCAGTTATAGTGTCTTTGTAGTACAGGGTCAAACGGAACTTCGGTCCTTAATCTTTATATATATATTATTTTACTAACCGAAATACCAGCCCATATACTGCTACAACAATAGCTCTCGAGGGTCTTACGAAACATTTGTTGTCTTTAGGTTTATCCTGATCTCATATAGGTGAAATGTTCGATAAGAGAAAAAAGACGTGAACTGCTATTTGGAAAAGTATCTATAAATCCGTTTGGTGGATCCGAACTGCTGCACTACGTATGCGGATTGTGGGCCCGTCGACCCGTCGGTGGTAGAAAACTAAAAACGAAAAAATCATATTATAAGCGTTTAATACTGCCAAAGAAGAGTTGGATTTTCAAATCGAAATTGCTTTTTTTCCACATGGGTGACAAACATTTAAGGTAACACGAGTTTGGGGAATTGTCTGAGTAGAGTATTTTCAAATTTGTAGGTACGTTATATATTGTATACGTTTATTGCGTACAGGCCCCTGAAACGTTTTGTCCTGTCGGTACGACAACACTTCGTCATAAACAAATATATTAAATGCACCGATTATAATATACCGAAGTATATTGAAGAATATTATAATAATATTTATAAGGTTTGGCAAAGTATGTATTTAATATTTTTCAATAAAAATATTATAAAAAAAAATTATTATTTTCGTTTTTTTTATTAACGTACCATCGAATCGTGTTTTTTAATAATATACCCTAAATTATACAAATACTATAGTTATCTTTTGATCTCTCTATACACACGTACGCACACACATATACATAAACGTATATATATATTATAATTTATAAGCAATAAGTACAGTACACAATATATTTAACGACAAATCATGTAATTGATACAGCTTACTTTCTAACTCGTATTGGCCAACAGACATTTATATTTGATTGAATCAAATATAATTTTTTTATTTTAAATACAACTTTAGTTAATGAATTATAATATGCGTGTATCGATAATACACCGTTTATTACACCATTCTATTTGCAACGTCCGTTTTCATTTGATAATCATTTATTTGTAAATAAACCCTATAGAATTTTCGAACGAGTTTTACATTAAGACTATAATTCAACACCATCATATACCTATATATTATTTGTACCTATATTATACAACCTTTATCGGTATATTTTGTTTGCCATTAAATGATTTTATCAAACAGGACTTTAGTAATGAATTATTAAACGCATATCAAAAATATGGCTATACACTTTTATTCAACAACCACTGTAAATATGCCAATGTCAAACATATATTGTGCGAAGAATGTGTCAATTTACAGTGTTAACAAACTTGACTATGTTAATGTTCCAATTATATATTTCGGGGTTTTGGAATATTCTCATTTAGAATTTAATTAATTGTATTGATTGCTGTAATAACAATAACAACGTACCTCGAGGATAGTTATAATTTATAATTTATAAAATATTATAACGATTAGGTTATAATCTTTAAATTCAAATGTATTATAAAGGTAAACGTGATAAAAATAAATAATTATAAGAATCTACGGTATATTTTTAAGGCACCATACAAAAAATAATTAAAAATATTATGGCCTTACTATTAATTTCATATTTTATAAATAACTTTATTTACGTATACATCTTAAAACGTTTCGATTTCTCATACCATTGATTTCACAATGTGTTCAACATTATAAATTAGTTAAATAACACGGTATTGTTCAAAATAATATGTTATATACATACACTTAACTATAAGCGTTTCATTAACATAAGTACATCGTTTTGTTCTATAAACAAGATTTGATTTTTTAATCTATTGATCAGCGTGAATAATAATAATAATAATAAGCCTATGTTCAATAACGAGAAATTTTAATTTGTTTATCAAATAAGTTATCTGACTATAATTTAATATCATTAAAGGTATTGTCTGCAGGGTTCTGTTCCTGTTTGAAAACTGTTTTTGATATAAAAATAAAAACAAAATAGCTACTGCAATGCTCCTTACGATATTTGACAAAGTAAATTGATAAACATGTGCACGTGATGATCTAATAAATACATAAACACGAATAGCTTCAACAAAATAGTAAGTGATATTTTGTGGAATGTGTCTGATTCACGCAAAACACATAGTCTTTATCGTATAGGCAGGTGTATGTTCAGTAAAAATTGCCATTCACTAACTAAAAAGTTAGAGTTTTTAGCAAAATACTTCATTTTATAACCAACTTAATCACTTAAATAATTAATATGAGCATTGCAGTAACTTAGTTATCCCCAGTTTATTTGAAAAATAATACGTGGCAGGTAATGTTGATTTTGTGAATGCCTGTAATCACCACGGTTAAAATTAAATATTAATTAAATATATTTTTGTTTATTCACTCTGTATGCAAGTATATACCCGATAAATGAGCATGATGATTTGAAATAAAAGTAAAACAAAACATATTTATTAGTTAATTTTTTTTTTAAATATTAGCCCTAAGATTTTAAAGTAAATATATTTATTAACTACCTATTTTAAATAATTATAGCTTATCACTTATACATTTTACTGAATTAAACTTAACATTTACCTAACAAACTTAAGTTGATTTTTTTCATAATGAATTAACTTATTTCTTGCATATTTGATCACATTAGCACAACTAAAGTGGTGTATAGGAGACACGCGAATCCACAAAAATAAAAATTTTATTTTATTTTAATGTTACTGTTTTTAAGTAAATATTATTATTAATTAAAATATTTTATATTATTTATACTGTTTATCGAATAAAAATAAATATTTATTATGTTTCCAGCTATTTTTAAAATATTAAAAGGGATACAACAAATGGTTTTAAAATTGAACAATTTTTAAATAAATATGATTTGCATTCTAGAAAAAAACATGTTAAAATAATTTTGTATGTTTCATTTGTTAACCAGTAATTGTATTACCGATATTAAAATAAAATAAAATAAGTACATAAATAAACATTTTAAATTATTATTAGTTATTACTTATTACTATAATTATTGAATGCAAAGACGAAAAGAAATAAGTACGACGTGAGTATAAAACCTTCACGGGTCTGTGAGCTCTTTACATTTTGTGGCTTGTGCACATCCAAAAATATTGGTCTAGTTGCGCATATAGCTGGCCGTCAGTAATTTAGTGTTTATTTCAATCCTTAACAATATAATTTTAATTTAAAATATTATCTAAGATTTTCGTATAATCACTAGATATCGATTTTTTTATAAATATAGATTTCCAAGAATAGATACACTTACACAAAAACTATCATCTCTGT